TTCAAGAACTTTGATGGAATCACTGGTTAAGGTTAATTCTCATGAAATATATTGCATTTAATTCATAACTCATGCTTTTATGAGAAAAACGAACAAAAAAAATTAATATGCAATAATGTGTGAAAATACCCATAACCGTTATACGGATATCTGGGAAAAGTCATAAGAGATGTTGCCAAATGTACCGACGAAAGTAGTTAATGTTGGATTTGTAAAAGAGTGCAAATAAAGTTTTACATTGACTAGGAAAATGAGTGATCGATGAGGACAATTATCTGTATTAGTATAATGCTTTTTGGGTAAAACCAAAACAAAATCCTAAGGAATATACCTAAAGCAATCATACATCGCAGAGATACTTGGGGTACTTAGGGTACCGTTTTCCTTAACAAGTGGTACCAAAACCATGGTTTAATCCTGGTTATGTCGATAAAATCCTCAGGTGCCGAACAAAGATCAAGTGATGAGTTTCAGATAGTGTAATCATGGTGTGATCCGTGGTTGTACTCTATCAAGTTGTGCTTGGAGACAAATAATGGGAAGGCTCAATGGTACTTTGTTGGAAGTGAGAATTGTTGGATTTGTAAAAGAATGCAAACGAGAGTGATTAGCATGAGACATTTTGAGTGAAATCAAAAACTAAGTTGATGGCTACTGGGATACCATTGGTTGTAGTTAACTGTTAAGACATTTATTCCATTCAAATTCACCCCGAATAGAAGTTTTATTAGATTGATTTAGTCGTTGTACTTTAATAAAGATCCTAATGCATTGAAATTTGTTTAGCTTTTAGCTTTTAGAAGTAGAAAAGAGTGAATATAGGCAATTGAAGAAACAATGTTGCCATTATTGAAAAATTAACGAAAAGGCAAAAGCTTGAATTTTGGTTATTACTTATTTGAATCTTGCACGGCTGGATAACATTCACATTCTCTCTCTCTCTCTGTTTCTAACTTTCTCGTACACTATATATGGAAAGCCTCTCCATTTGCGCGCATTGGAATTAGCTGCTACTGCCAATTTCCCTCTCACTCTCTCTCTCTCTCTTTTCTTTAAATTTCTCTCTCTGATTTTCATTTTGATTTTGCTTTTGCTTTTGCTTTTGAGTTGAAGAAGAGAGAAGAGATCGGAAAATGGTAAAATTCTCAAAGGAACTGGAAGCCCAACTGATTCCAGAATGGAAACACGCCTTCGTAA